TATATTGGACTTACCTAGATGTGGTTAGATTTAAAAATCATTGGACGACTTTTTTTTTATAAACGTTTTGAGATCAAATTTAAACGAAAATTGCAAAAATTATGTGTACCCGAACTGCGCTCGGAATCTTCTTTTGTCAAGCGATGGTTTATCGTTGCTAACAAGATATAAATAAAATAACTTTATGTATCCTACCTTCCTAACTTCTCACCTACAACAGCGGCTGCTCCCATCCCCAATATCAGCTTTTTTTTTTTTTTGTTTCTTCCAATCATGTTATTACTTCCATGTTGGACAACAATTTTCGTAATTTTTTTTTTACAGTCCAAAATTATTATAGCCAATAAATAGATCCGAAATACAAAGTTTTATTTTGCATAATTTGTCTTTTTTTGATGTGTACTGCATATTTCTGTATTTTACGATTTTTCATTGAATTATGGTCGAATACCCAAGTTGTTGGTTGGCTTTACCCATATATAGCTTTGGTTCGTAAGGAATTTGTTTTCTTATAATTTTATCTAATCACTTCTAGATTAAGATAACTCGGTCAGAATTATTTTTTTTAATCATTTTTGTTTCCAAATTTTGTATATTTTAATTTTAATCAGTGTATAAGTGCATGCATATTAGTTGCACGGCATTGAAATATTCAAAACAAAATTGTAGTACATGAAATAGTCGATACAGATGTCAACACCGCCTAAACGAGTATTGCGGTTGTCTGAAGTAATACGTGTTTGATTTAATGGACAAAAATCTCAAAACACGCGAAAATTATCTTTCCTCAGTCAACTAATTATAATGGTGACCTAAAAATGCTACACTAAATACTCAATAATTATTCCGAAATATTGTTTTTTATACATGTTTACATTTTTTCGGCAATTAAAATTCTCTCATATTTTTACGCATTAACTTAAAATATGCGAGATTTCTACCAGGTTCATTGGTACTTTACTGAATCACATTGTTTATTCTTTAAATCCGTTTTTAAAAAATTATAAAACTAACAACAAATGGCGATGCATTACATTTATTTGTTTACCTGAGTTTACCTGTCTCTATCTTTGTTATACTAAGCTACCTTATCATAAGAAGAACACGACTCATATCATAGTCTTATCTACAATTTACAAAGCTCAACTCAGAATCAGATTTTTGATTGCAACAATTTATCGTTGTTTTCTAATATAAACTCTGAATGTCCTATAAATAGTATAAATCGTTTAAACCTTCTACGTAAGAAGTCTACCAGTAGTCTATCCACGGTGCAAAGTATATCCGGCTTTCTTTATATTAATCTAGGCTTTTAAATTTAGTGAGTAAAAAAGATGTTTTTTGATTTTCCGTGTAACTTTGTTATTGATAGAGCAAAATCATAAAAAAAATTAGAAAAAACGAAAAGTTTACGGAAATAATTTTAATTTTAATTTTTGTTTTAATTTTCTTTGAAAGAAAATTCTCAAAGCGGCCGTATGCAGTTGCTGATCCCCAATAACTGAATGTATTTATTTCAAAAAATTTAAATGATTGTCGTTTTTGTATCCGACCGACGCGAACAAATAATTTATTTTCGATAAGTTTTTATTTTACAGATACGCGTGTGTGGGTCTCTCGCCTCCTTCCCGCGGGAAAAAACTTTTTTAACGAACGACATGCTCAGATTTTTCCACGCTCTATCTTATCGGCCACGGTACTTTGGGTGAATTCGAAAAATATTTTGAGTATATTTAGAGGCTCCGTCCTATAGTCACTTTGCGTCGGCAACGGAATATACTATTAAACCGCTAAACGAAAACAATGATACTGCCTAGATAAATTGCGTATAAAAACTAAACACTGAGTATAAAATTTAAGTGTTTTCAATAATCTATTAAATTTCGTTAAGATATTTTAATGATACATATTATACACTTTACAACAGCCACGCCATACCGGAACGGCCACGCCATACCGGAATAGCCACGCCATACCGAAACAGCCATGCCATACCGGAATAGCCACACCATACCGGAAAAACATGGCAACCATAATTATATATATATTTTGTTTACTACATGTTAAAATCGATTTGATAAAATATTTATTATTATTTTGTTTTTGTTTTTAAAGAAATTATTATTTATTATAAATTTTGTTTAACTTTAATTTTTTTTTTGAAACTAATTTTTTGTTTAATATAGTTCACACCTCTTCGATAAGTTATTTTTTATTTTTTTGTTCTATTAGAAAAAATTGTTTGTTATAAATTTTGTTTAATTTTAATCTTTTGAAATGTATTTATTTATGTTTTAAAATTACATAATTTTGCCTGATGCTCACTAAAACCATAGTACTTGAATGATAAATATAAACACGATAAAAAAAACTGATTAATTTGCAAAGTAATAATACCTTAATAATGAAAAAGACGTCCTAGGGTAATGGGGACGGTGCAACCACCGTTATAGATAATTTAATGTATAACTGTAAGCAACGATAAAATATTTTTTACGAAAAAACGATTCTGAGCGGTTGTAAATTAATAGTGATGCTTCGTCAAATATATAAATGTCGTTTTAAAGTAAAATAATTAAATAGGCTTTATATATTTCTTTTAATAAAATTTGTTTAATTTTGTCCTGATTTTTCAATTTCCCTACGCTTTTCCCGGTTTCCCCATGTTCTATCGTGGTTTTTTACATTTTTTTAGGAAATCTCCTGAGAAAATCGAAAAATGACATCTTTTAAGTATTTCCCCATACCAATTTCCTTTCAGAAAAGGTAATACGATTAGAAATCCGAGCAAGTGTTCTGGTAGAAAAGTTGTTAACATTTAAATAAGGAATAGCCCTTAGATAACTACGATAATTTAGGGGAAAATTAAAGGCAAACCTGTGAGTGGAAGGCCTAGAACACCTTTAGAGGACAGAGACAAATAAAAAGAAACATAAATAATCATTTAATCAAACTTTGGATTGTAAAAAAAAAAAAATACATTAATGTGATGTCAACGTCAAATAACGAAGTTCAGGTTCACGCCGTTCACCACGGTCCTGTTAAGTTTCATTTGTATCCATTATTTATGACGTACAAGCCAGCAGCAATAATAAGGTTATATTTTCCTAAACTGTTATGCATAACAGGTCAATTATGAATATTGTAGGCACGCCGTACACGAAACTCCATTACGCCTGATATTATAATATTTTCTCAGGAGGCCTAACAATTAAGGTATAATATGAAACAATTCTTATGTGAGAAGTTAATAAATGTGTTGATTTCGTTATTTCAATATGGGTTCTGTTTCCAGAAATTAAAGTTTCTAAATAAGAAATATATTAATATAATAACGACGGCGTTTAAACGATATTACAGCACGTTCTATATTTGTTTGAAAAGTGTTGGGAAAAAAAAACGTTGCTCCGTACTCGTTAAGAAAAAGTATATTAGTTCAATAATTGTTGCATTAATAATAAAGTATACCTGCTATTTGGTTAATAATACGTTCAATTAGAAAATTGAAAAAAGTTTACAAAAATTTAGACCTATAATGATTAACAACGTTTTATTAATAAACTAAGTAAAGTTAATAGCTAATTTAGAAATTTAAATAACTCATTTATTTATGTTCCGGGGATTTATTTTAGCGTTTCTAAAATTTATGTTTTTGTCATAGAGAACATGCTTTGAATTTATGATTACCCGATGAGGGAAAAAAAATTATTATATGTACGATTGTGTATGCTATTTAAAAAATGTATGGGTTTTAAATTTAATATTGTATAGAAATTAACTTAAATTTTTAACTTGATAATTCAGTCTTACTCGTAGCATTTACTTATTAAATCATTAAGTTAAAATTAAAACAAACGAAACATTAACAATAACAGTTAGGTATTTTTTTTAGAACCACACAAATTTAACGGCATAGTGCACTATGGTGAAGTTATTGTAAAATGTCCACCGACTTCCATCCCCCTACATAAATACTGGTTCACAAATCGGATATTATGTTATTTTATTATTAATGTATATAGGCAGTAATAATATTGTACTCTGGGAAAATACACACAACGTAAACCATATGTTACATTTCGGTTTATTTATCACTTAGCAACAGTTTTTTTCAGCTCTTGTACTTTTGCTAACCGATATTCTGTCACTTTGCATTTAACGTTGAGTCCGAAAGGTTGTTTATTGTTTTCGCTCTTGTTTCGATTCGATATTACACACATCGATTTAGCGACTTTTTCTCGTTAATTATTAATAAAATATTTAACAATCTACTTGTTTCAAATATGTTCAATACTTTGTTCTTGTATTATACTCATACAATAAAAATGTTTCCTGCTACGTTATGTCTGGTTTTGTTGGTAGCAAAATTCGCTCGGTGGTTGCTGTCGTTATTCATGATCGCTTTACTTCTCGCAGAAGCATTAGTACAGATCGTCATCACTGTGACAAAGATTATCGCAGAATCATTAATACAGATGGTCTTCGTGTTGATAAAGTATGTGCAATTGTATATATATATATTTTTTTTTATTAAAATAGCCGTACAGAATTAATTCCCTAACTTTTTCTTTCGGGTCTTTAAAACGATTCGTATGGGCTTACACGAGAGTTTTGTTGTTAAAATATGAAAATTGCATTTTTTTTTTTTTTGTTTACGGTTTTCTATTTGTTATAACATGTGAAAAACTTCGTTATTATAATAATAAAACTTTTTTTTTTTAACCTATAACAAAATCAAATTGTAATTATTTTAAGTCCCTGTACAGTGTAAAACGCATATACGACGGGTACATATTATATAAAAAGAAATATAAATTTTGTTTGTCCTGCAGGGTCATTTCCAAAACTATAAATAGGTACCGATCGATTCGTCTGAGATTATTATTTTTTTTTTAAATCGTTTGTCGTTAATTTCACGGGGAAAGTAAACATAGATATAGAAATAGTATAATATTATTTTTGATCTTTTAAATGTTTTAGAAATTCGCATACCTNGAAACATGGAACCAAAAAGGGCTATTCTTAATAAGTCCGAAGTACCGTCTGATACTTTCTTTGAAACTTCAGATCCGCACATTACCGTCGGTCCGAGCCGGACCGATGTCACAACGCAACGCATCATACCGCCGGCCGAAACACAGCCAACTATCGATCCGTCAAGTGAGTATAGTAATTATTATATAAAATTAAACGTTCAACATCGGAATCGTGTATATTTGAAAGTGAATTATTTATTACACCAAATTCTAACCGATTAACATACTAACCACGAATATTATAAAAACGAAAATAACGAAAATCTAAAAATTTTTCCGTCACAAACGTTGTGTTAGGGTTTATCGTAAATTCGAAAACAAATTATTTCGAATATAATAATAAGGAGAGGAGGGTTACAGAAACTGTTCAAATTTTTCCGGTTTCGTTAAATTCGATAGTTTTTTCGTACCATTTAGCGACAACCTTAACGATTAGTTTTTTCCTTAACCTATATACCGTCCGAACACTATCGTTTTTACACGGACTTAAAATTTAAATTAATATTCAGTCAAAATATCCGCAGGAATATAATTTACGAATAAAATAAATACCCTTTGTATACCCTATACTTTATTTTTATTAGCTGTCAACGTGTCGAGTTCTATACAGACCGACAAAATTGAAGCGGTCGGATCCGTGAAATGCTGTAAAGAAAATATAGATGCTATATTTAACACGATGCATGAACGTAATCTACTAACCAAGGTTACTATTATTATATTGTTATGTACTTACTTGAATTAAAACTTGTACGAACAATTTCACTAAAATACGCTATAGCCGGTATAATATTATTTGTTAATAATTTATTTATTTATTTTTATATCCTATATAGTCTAAAGAAATCAAAAAAATTATCGTTGAAACCAAAGAGAAATGTTTACCATGGTTAGCACCATGTATCATTACGAGATACATCAGCGTAGAATCAAGTCATCATACAATGTACTTAAAATTTTTGAACATATTGAACAACGAAATTCTCACGGAATTAATAACGCTAGAAACTGAATCAGATATTAAAGTGAATAGGAACATTTTTTTTTATTTGACTAAAATGTTTAATTTTTATATGATTATTAGGGAACAGATTATATACAATTAAAATCCGTAAAAAACACTAATAGAATGCTAGAGTGGTTTTAAAAAGTCCCTCTTCCTACGGTTCTAAGCCCATTAAATAATTTTGTCTAAAACTGACAAATTATTAACACCAAGTATTTATTTTTTTTTTTAGAACACGTACAAATTTATTTTATTTAATCGTTTTTGTAGCGCTTTTTGTGGATTTTAAGTGTATTTAAATCCGTTCCCCGATGATAATGAATACGACTTATTTTAAAATAATATCTTGCGTATCTCGTTAGGCATTATTAAGCAAAGATGATGAGAGTCATACATGTAGAAAAACTTTAAACAATTTGGGAAGTTGGTACGGGATGATGACCCTGGCCAACAATAATCCGTTCGGTAAGACGTTTGAAGACTTGAAGATACTACTAATTAAGGCGTACCAAGAAGGAGAAGAAAAATTGATGTACACTCTGCCGTTTGTTATAAGAATTCTTGAAACGTGCGCTAATAGCACAGTATGTCGAATACGTTTCGTTCTTATCGATTTAATTTCTGATAATTTGTTGGTATAATATAATTCTATTTTGTTTCATCATAGGTGTTTAACACTACCAGCCCGTGGACGTTGGACGTGTTATGTTGTTTNGTTCCGATTTGAAATCGAATTATTGTGTAAAAAATTAGAAATTGAACTCGAGGTGAAAATATTAATATTTTAAATCTTTATCTGTAAACTGAAACCTTATATTTCTGTTATTTAGGATTTGAAGCCCACAACGAGTTATTTCATTGAAAATCCATAGAAAAATGTTTGCATACGAGAGTCTTACCTATTTAATTAAAACGAAAATTTGTCCTCACGCAGTCGTTTCTCCGTCGGGTCTACAGCGGTTTACGAACCTAATGTTTTTGAATAAATAATATATATTTTAAGAAATTTAATAAAATTATTTCCCCGTTGGGAAGAATGTGAATTATTTTTTTTTCAATTTTTTGTAGTGGTTTTTTCACTATGATTTTATCGAATTTATAGTTTAATCAAAATAATATTATAAATGCATAAAATTTAACTGTAGAAATGCCATGGTCGATTCGAAAATCACAAAAATAATAAATATCTAATAATTAGATTTGCATGCATGCACATGCACATAAACGTTATAATATAAAAAAATGTTTTGAAATTTCGAGATGTTGATCGTTTTTGTCAAAATTTTATCCTAAAACAATTATTGTAAAAAAAAAAAAAACGAATATATTAAACTACTAAAAGTAACTCGAAAACCTAATATTTTAAATATATTAAACATATTTCAAACAAGGCAAATATAACGTATATAGTCAATACAATAATAATAATTTTGTCTGTGATAACCATTTTATCATCCACGTGACCAAAGTATAACTTGTAAATCAAAAAATAACATTTAATACCAATAACCTTCCCGTACCGCTAGCTGTCTCGTCTGACATTGTCGGGGCCAATTTTTTTTTTTAATATTTTATCCGTACCACTAAGATAACCTATGAATAAACGAAAATTAACATATAAACATTTGGATATTAGTATCGAAAATACCTAAAATCCTCTATTTTACGGCTTAGGGGATGAATTTGAAAATACCTTCATCGTAATAGCTACCTGTATGCTAAATTTTAACCCGGTCTGGCCAGTAATTTAGGCTAGAAGATGATAAATCAGTCAGGACAAGTTATTATATATAATAAATTAGGTGAATTATCCGACATCGCCCGTGTGTAGATTTTACTCTCTTTAAATGAAATTCTTAAGTTCAATGCTTATTGTTGTGTTTTATTGAAACAATAAAAATGATTTAATTTAATTTAATCAATCGCTAAATGATAGTAATAACTGAATAAGAAATAAAAAAAAATAATATTTTAATAATATTTACAAACGATACTAGCGATTCTATATATATATTATTAATAAAAATTATTCTATATCTATAATTATAATTTGTATAGTTTAACTTTATTTATGGATATTTACAAATGATTCTATACTGAGTTACTCTATTCTAAAATGACTTAAGTAAAAACCTTTTGGTATACCACATTAAAAGTTTTATTTTTTAATGCGTAAACCTATAAATGGTCAGGTTTTCCAACTCCAGATAATGCTACATAAACCTACAATATTTTCCACGTGAGAAACAGTTGTTTTCCAAATCTACACCAAAATAAGTTAAAGTCTGACCTTGGGCTTTATTTATTATCATTGCAAAATAAACTTTTATTGGAAACTGAACTCTTCTGAACTGAACTGTAAATGTCTAAATCGTTAGAAAACAATGATATTTTCGATAAAAATAGTTTTTCTCCTTTGGAGAATCCCACATCCGATCAGTATTTACGCTTCAATTACATTTTTTGTAAAAGAGGTGCCACGGATCCTTTCTGACTTAAATATTACGTCAATTGAGAGCCGCATAACCGCATAAGCGCTATGAACTAAGCCTGGAGCGCATAAAATTGTCAATAATGATTTTTATTCAATTAAAAAATTGATTAATACAATTATTTTATTGATATAAAAATGTGTATATATTTATTATATGTGTATAATTGCATAGATAAATATAATAAAATATATTTTGTCATTTAATAGGTAGTCAAAAGCATATTGATAATTTTCGCGTTTTAACGATTATAGCTTATAAAAGGGTTTTACTTTTGTACGAGAGACTAGTAATATTTTAGAGTATTTCTTAACACATGGATTCGATGAAATTATTCAAATAATTTTATTAAAATCAGTTTCAATGTATTAAATATTATCTAGATTGCAAAGGCTTGTAAACGAATTTATTAAGTTCGTTCGTGAACTTGGAATGTCTGTGAGTGAAATGTTACTAAAACAAATAAGTATAAAAATGACATCAAGCTTCCCAAATTTAAATATTGCCTTTAGAATAGGTATACATATCAATTTTTGGATCATCATGTAAGAGTGAAAAAAAATGTTCAATACAGAAACGAGCGAAAATTGGCAAAAGTCAACTCTTATGCAAATATAAATTATTGTCCTTATGTCGTTGCTGTCAATAGAACATGAATGAACACTACATGAAAAAAAAACACCGATCAAATAGGGTAAAATAAATGGACATTCGATAAGAAAAAATGTCAACAAAATAATTTTTAATAATATTTTTACTTTTTTTATTCTTTGTATATTTTATAATTTATAAACATAATTTTATTGGTTTATTATCTTATTGGTACGTGTAGCCAAATAATTTGTTATGATATAATTTCTCCATATTATGGGAAGAAAAGTGCCTAGAGCTCCCCCAAATGTCTTAATTATAGGCCGTGTCGAATTATATATACTCGTTTTGTACCTTTAGTTCGTGTACATCACGGTTTGTTACTCTTTCTGATTATTAATGAATCTCGAGCGTTTTTCGATAGCACCACATTTCATAAACCTATAACCACTGTCTGTTATATTGTTATGAAATATTTCTGTAAGAGTCAATAGCTGAGTGACAATATTATAATATTATTATTATTATTATTATTCGATTATTAACTAACGATTTCATTGTGCCGTATATTGAGTTTAAAAATAATTCTTACACGATAAGTGAACGTAACTACACATAACTACACGCATAAAAAATAATTGCGTTTGATTTTTATACAAATAAATAAGTTGGTTTTATACGAATACATGCTTATTGGTGATTACTGAAAACATAATAATACATTATATGGTTTATTAAGTATAATTGCCGTACAAATTACTGCTATATAGAAAATAATTAATGAAATAATAATCGATAAAAATACCGAAACTACACCGATTATCAGTAGTCGGTGTTTATAAATTATAATAATAATTATTTATTAATATATTATTGATAAATAAATGAAATAAATATATTTTAATAGGTATGTTGTTAAACTCATTGTTGAAGCAATACAATTTAGCGGTTTACCTATAATAATGTAATACCTTAATAACATATTATATTGTTATCAAGGCAACAAAATGTTGCGCTTAAAAAAAAAAAAAAAAAACCAACCCACCAATGCACCAAATTTATTGGTCCATTTTGGATTGGTTTGGCGCAAGTAAAAAGAGTCGTTTACAGATACGAAAAAAAGAAAAAGACGAATCATAGTAAAACCAATATGTTCTTTTAGAATTTACAGAAATCCATAATATTTCAAAAGTCGTACCACGTCTAGAAAGTGCTTATACATAAGTAAATATCAATGATATCCGGAAATATTTCTAAAACCAACCTTTATATTTTCGAAAATTCTAAGCAAAAGAAAACAAACCGAAAATAATAAAACCTTTACCCGTAATTATTCCCGGGGATTTTCTCGGTATTTCCACATTATTGAAAAAAGTACAAGGAAAATCGAAAAATGACCTCATTAATCCGGTTATCCGACTAGACAAAATCTGCTACCATCAGAAACTACCCCTGAGTTATCGGTATCAGAGCGACGTAATGATAGAATATTTTTTTTACTGACAGAAAACAAATAATACACTTTCCACCGTAGTCGAACTTCTATTACACTCCCCGTTTCGCTTAAAACCGAACACCTGTGGAAAAACTTTAATATCGTCGTCGTAAAAATCCTAACATCGCCGCCTAATATTTCCGTTCGCTTACCGGTCGTTCAAAAAAAAAAACAAAACAAAACAAAACACTTTTCCGCCGTTACACATCATACGAATCTGCAAAAAATGGCCGTGTACATGTTATTATTATTATTATTATTATACATATAATAATATTGTTATATTATCCGAAACAATTATAATCTACAATCCCGGCGCCTTTCTCCGTCGCATGTGTAAGTTCTCAGACTCACGGTGTATTGTTTTTGTTTTGTTTTTTTCTTCTTAAGGAAATAATTACTAAACGAATAATTGTTATGGGGGCGGAGAAAGCGCTGCAGTAATGCGCGGCAGTGATATGGGAACCGGAATAGGCTAGCGTGGAGCTTTTTTTTCTTTCTTTTTGTTGGTTTTAAACAAACGAACCACGCGTCTGCCGTGGATACCCGACGTCATCGTGTAAATACTAAACGCGTAACTGCACGTTCGGCAGATGATATTATACGACGTGTAAAATAACAATATAAGAACATGTAACCGAGAACGTTTTCGGCGCGTTATGTCACACACTGGTCGCACATCCTGTGTAGTTATTCCAAAATATTCGTTTTCGCGTTTTTTCGAACGTTCGCGGCGTGCGAACGGACGAATTCCAAGAATATAGAATATAATTTAGTTTTTTAACGTATCCTGTAAACATACCAAAAAAGAATACGACTTTAGTGGATACTGTAGGTTATAATAACATAATAACTGTGGGTAAAATTGAATCTAATATAAGAGACTAATGCGTTTTAAGGTACCGAATTGAATCCGCGTACAACTTCATAATAGTTGATATAACTTATAAGAATTCTAACGTACTTCTGGGTAGGTCACTTCAATGGGTAGGAAGTTCGAGGAAAAGGTAATTGTGATAGGTGCGTAGTGATTTAATTTATATATCAAACGCTAAAATATATCATTGCGATCAAGCAAACTGTTTTGAACAGATGAATATAGTGTTAGTCGTGTTTTTTCTCTTTTGGCAATCAAGGTAACCCAGAAACCAAAAAAAATTAAAACCAATAAAACGACATTTGTTGTAAGTATTTTTGATTTTACTAAACAAGCTGTTTGGAATCTAGACGTCTTGTTTCAAATAAAATACTACCGGACGAAAAGTCTGCATCTTGTACCGCGTGAACGATTTGAAGCGTTTTTACTAACTCAAACATTTTTTTCAGAAAAGAAAAATATATGCTTCGTAGTAAAGCTATAATAGCTTCTTCACTATAGGT